TTTAGGAGATCAATATAAATCAAATAATCATTCTAATATCACAAATCAATTATTATTATTTACTAATCATGAAATTTCAAAATTAAAACATCATTATGCATCATAAAATTGTAACAATCTCAACATCAAGATTTCAAAACATAAATCAATGCTAATTAAAAAAAAAGGATCCTACCTCTCCTCGGCTATTCTTTCCTTGATATCATCTTCTCGGGAAGTTCTCTCCTCACTCATCTCATTATTAGGTTTAGTAAGGAATGAGGGAGGAGTAGCCCCCTTTATATAGAAGAAGATGAGATCTTCTCGAAAGGTAAATAATAATTTAATTTTTATTTTTAATTTATTTTTATTTTGCTTTCACACATAAAGGGAGTAATATAATATTCATTTCTTATAGTTCATACACAAAAAATAGAATGTAAATTATTTACTTCCTAAATATCAAATCACTCGTTAGGAAATAAATCAATTAATAATTTAATTGATTAGTAGAATTCTTAACTTATCCACATGATTAAAGAAACCAAATTTAATTATTTCCTTAATTATAGTACACAAATATAGAAGTTAATAATAAGGTAATACATTATTTATAGTAATTAATTTATGTTAAGGGAGAAATTATCGGTGATTACAATTGATCATTATAGATGGACTGAAGGTGAAATACTAAGATGTTGAGAGCCACAACCCTTGTTAGATTTTCTATATGTGGTTTAAACTTTTAAACTTTAGGTCAACAAAGCAATCTTGGCTGCTTTATGATATGTTTTGATGCAAGAGAAATGTTGCAAGTTCTAATCTTATAGTAGTAAATATATTTGGTCCTTGTATATGATGATCTGACTTATGAACTGCTATGTTGGGTGCTCGTGTTTGTGGGTTGACAATATATTATGTCTGTAATTTCAGTTGGTTGCTTCATGTTTTCACATAAGGAATAATATTAGTTGAATTTGGAAGCTTATTGGTCTGTCCTACTACTACACTAATAGGGGTTGCAATGGCCATATTTGCACTGAAGTTCTATCCTGACACAGTCAGCAAAACTGATCTTTCTTTTATTTACTGAATGAGTGTGAAAGAGAGGAAGACAGAAAAGAATCAAAGAGAGAGTAAATAAGGTTAGGGAAGACATATTCCTTATGGTTAGCCATTAAGTTGGGCCTTGAAATAGTTGGTGCTATTGCTTAGAAGGTAGGACATGGAACATGAGTAATTAGCAATGCCGATATTGGGATGATTTTAAGAAACATGATCATGGATACAGTGACAAGATTTATCGCAGTAGATGCTCATGCAAAGCTGCATGTGCATATTATTTGTTTTATGCCATCAGTGTAGCAGGTGCATAAATTTCTCTGCGTTTTTGTCAAATGGTGATCTCTTGGATTGTTTAAATAATCTTGGCTGATCTCTTAGATTGATTATTGGTGTTTACATGTTCTCTCAGTCTATTACTGTGTGTGACATATGCAGGTGGAATCTGATCAATGATCATGGAACCAGTCACTTGAGCATTGTTGATAGTGACCGAAATGCTGTTTCAATGACCAGTACTGTCAACTCATACTTTGGGTCACAGATTTTATCACCTAGTACGGGAATATTGCTTAACAATGAGATGGATGATTTTTCCATCCCCAATAGTTCTTCTGCTAATATTCCACCACCAGCTCCAGCAAACTTTATTAGACCATTGAAAAGACCATTATCTTCCATGAGCCCTACAATTGTTGTCAAGGTATGCTATTTACTTCAGGAATATCCTCTGTTTATACCATGTATATATATTCTGCAATGAGAGCGAAATACTGATTTGTAAGTAAATCTAGGCCACCTTGATTTACTATATTATGTTCATGAAGGCTGATTGTCTTTGTACACTAAGAGGCATCCACTAGAAACAAAGTGCATCATCTTTCACAAAGAGCGTCCTTAACAAGCTTGCCTAAAATCCACAAGATGATGTCCAAGATTATTTCTTACAGAATATTGTAAGTCCATTTGAAATGTTCCCTGAAGAGAGTGGGTAATGATTGATTTAATTTCTCCATTTACAAGATTTTTTTATATTTTGATTGAAATTAGCTTCTAAATTGCTTTCTATTAACTCTCTCAAGCACATCATGTATCATAAGAGAGTTGATGCCTTTATGTAGAACTTGAGTGGGGCTAATCTACCTATTAAAGTAGGATGCCATGGCAAAAAGTGTCGGGACATTCCAAGCATTGTAAACCACTATTCTTCTGTTATCTTCTTTTTCTTGCTTTACAGGATGGGCAATTGAAGGCTGTGGTGGGTGCGAGCGGAGGAGCCATGATCATTGCTGCGACTGCTGAAATATTGCTGAACCATTTCGCACAGAGGATGGATCCATTATCTTCAGTTTTAGCTCCACGATCTTATCACCAGGTTCTGCTACTTCCTCCTTTTCTTTCATTTCCTATCCTTGCATATTCCAATATTATCCCTAAAATGAGTTCCAGTAGATTGAAAACGCATGCTGCTGAAGGTTAACGTAGAGGTTCTTTACGTATCCAAAATGACATGAACAATGACTTTAGGTCCCATATAATGCTCCATTTCTTATATCTCACTGGAACATGAAACTTGGCAAGTTCCAAAGTTGAGAATGTTTGGAACTCTAGTTTTTATTGTATCACCAAGTCCCAGTAGCAGAATTATGGAGTCTTTGAGTTGTTTTCAGTAAGAATTGTTTTAAATATGCTTCAACCAACTATGGAGTTTTTGCTTTCTGTTTCTTCTGCAGCTGATACCAAATGTGGTTCAGTACGAGAACTGGACGACGGTAACAGGCGACCACTTTGAAGTTCCTGCTGCAACAAGAGCAGCCCTGCAGAAGAAGGGCCATGTCCTACAAGCCCTTTCTGGAGGCACGATTTGCCAGTTTATCGTTGTGCGCAGCAGCCTAGAGAAGTCGGCAACAGTTGGAGGTGAGCTCACTGCTGTTAGTGACCCAAGAAAAGGTGGTTTGCCGGCTGGTTATTAAATGATGATGCATATGATGATTCCTCGAGCAAGCAAAGAAGTGCTAATCTTCGTTACCAATTTACAGCTCAGTAGGAGAGTTGTGATTGCTTGATTCTCAATTATAGACATTTTCTTAGTTACCTTATTTGAATAATAGAAGATTTGCACCATATGCATAATCCCTTCAGAGCTTAAAAAATTTTGCAGATCTGACTGTGTAGTTAATAATGTCCACAGGTTTGGTAAAGGTTACCGCAAGCCAATTCTTATTTGAAATTCTAATTCACATTAATATTCTTAAAAGTTATTATGATGCTAATAATATTAGGGATATTTTAGCTATATTATTATTATTATTATTCACGTATGCATCTTCTAACTTAAATAAACTAATGTTAGCCATGGTTTTGACTAATTTGAAACCTTTTGGGTCAGTGCTAACAGCAGTATCATAATGAGGGATGTATAATATGCAATGTAAACAAAACATATATGTACACATACACACACACACTGCAAACGATAAAAGCTGAGATTTTGTGCAAAGCGGAAGCAATCAAGCAATCGTAACCCTTTTTTTATTTTTATTTTTATACAGTCCCTAATGATGTGATACTCAAAGTTCATATCCTGTTGAGTAAAACAATATGCAGAAGCCACGAACTCTCCATAATAAACACTCAGCTTTATGTCGCTAAAGTTGGATTTGTGAACCTAAAAATCTTTAATTCATCAGGCAGATGAACCCGGATAAATCCACAGATGTTCTTAAAGGAAAGATAGAATTTGTTACAACATAATTTACAACATACGACATCATATACGGCTTCACAACCAGAGGTCATGGAGCTGTCATAAATATTTACAGATTATCTCCATTTCAGTTCCCTGCTTTCAATTTGGGTGACTATTTTATTGATAAAATTACTCCAGAATCTGGATGATAGCAGCTACCTTCCTACCATCTCGTTCCCCTAGCAGCTTCTTGGTCACAGACGACATTGCATGTTGCAAGGTACAGGTTCTGAAGTTTCTAAGCTGGTTCACGAGGTCGGGCAGCCCACAAGGAGCTAAGGGCACGAAGGCGTTGGAAGTAATCGCCCAATGCAAGAAGGCCTCGTGCTGCTTGGCGGACTGTGAGAATCTTGTACATCTGCTGCAAGGTTTGCTGCCGAAGGTGGTCAGCCTGTAGTAACAACATTAGCATTAGGAAAGGATAGTTTCGTTCCGAGGTGAACATTCATTCCGACTGAACATTCTCAAACAAACTATTCATGATTGCTGGTAATAGGTAGCCCACTTTTCAACCCAAGCATGTGTCATTATGAAAAATCAATATTGGTCGGACCGACTGGTATTATCGGCTTGACCAAGGATCGGTATTGGCCTATATCTAATTAACTATCATTTTCTTCCAGTGATACCGGATGGTGTACCATCTGATATAGTCATATGATAGATATCAGTTTGATCAGTTGCTAAAACTTGTATTAGACCAAGATCTAAAACCTTGTCTTGAGTAACCTAGTGTACGTTTTGAAAATATTTCCATGAATGAAATGTTATTGCTTTATCACTTTTGCCCAATTGAGTCATCAAATACAGAGGAGAAAATTTATCCCAAAAAGAAATGCAGAGGTGAAATAGGAAAAGAAAGGGAAAATGTAGACCTTGAACAAGCCAGCATATGCAAATTTGGGTTCGAAATCTAATCTTAAAACAAGGGACTCCAGTTCAAATCTAATCTAAACCAGCATATGCAAACTTTATAAAGGATCTAGAAAAGGAAGAACTGAGAACGAGAAAATAACATTAAGTGGTTCATTGTAAGAAGACTGGTAATTACCTGGTTTACGAAGCTTACAAGAGCCTCCAGTTTCCCCATTGCATTCACCATCTGTCCCATGTAATCCGAAACACCAGAGGTTCCTGAGGAATCAGATGTTAGAGTCTCAGCAAGATTTTGTTGAAGCTTATCCATTCCTTGGGAAAGTGCATCTTCAGCTTGCTGCGAAGATTGTTGCAGGTTACAGACAGAAATAACTTGTTGCTCAGTCAAAGGATCAAGCTGTGGTGAGAGAACCTATAACCAAGAAAGTAAATACATGTTAACTGCACTCCAAATACAGGGATCATATAGTCCAATAGTCTGAATGCTGCAACATTTACAAAATGGCCCTTTCAACTGATGCTTTAAGATGTTATGCTGTGCTAATAATATCTGAACTAAGTACCAAAATATTAGGACCTTTTACTCCACAAAAACCAATAAAATCACGAGATTGATGTAACTCATTAAATCACCTTTAAAAGTTCTGAAGGCCGAAAACCCCCAATCCAAAGAAAAAATCGTTCTGCAGCTGTCTTCCACATGCCAGACATAAGATAGAAGACATCAGATTTCGCAGCAATTGCTTTGATATGAAAAAGATTGTCATAGTGGCTCAATGCACTCTCTACAAGCATGCGAAGCTCTATATCAGATACATGTGCTTGCAAAGCAGCTCTAAGTTCACTAGTCTGTCGGTTTTGTTCTTCAACCCAGTGCCCATATTCCATCTCAAAAGCAGTAACACCTGAAAGATGTCAAGAAGGAATCCTTTAGGTACTTCAGCAGGTTAAGTGGTAAATTCATTCTCCAATAAAAATTCCAGGATGAGGATAATAAGGAAAAAGGCATGTCCAAAAACCCTAAAGCACAAAGCTCCCAGCATGTTTTAAAAATTATAACAGTTAATAATCATAAAAGAAAGCAACTAACATCCGTCTTCCGAGTTAATATTCATGCAAGGTAGTAATATGGTTCAGCAACTAACTCATACATTCTTTAATGATAGTTACTGCAGTAACTGTTTTGACTCTACTTATATGGTTTACTTAGGCCAAGGATAAACCACACACGTAAAGCAGAAATGAGACCAGAACAATGCTTTTGAACTAAAAATGTGAAGTTAGATTAAGAAAAGAGACAGAGGAAGATATTAATGCTCCTTGACGTGCACAAGCATGATATACAATATTAAACATTATGAGCATTCTAGTCTGACATAATTAAATGTTACAAACAATGAATACCAAAGTAAAAAAGAATGACACTAGGGCAAACCCAGTGAGGGTTCCCACAAGTTCAGGGTCATAGCCATACCCTGGTATTTTGAGTGGCTATTTATGTGGCTCAATCATTTTGATGTTGCATGGTCTAAAAAGGTACTGTGCCTCCAAAAGTGAGGGAACAAATATTTCACCTGAATTGACACTTCCTGATAGTCCAAGAGTTGACTCTCCTAAATTCCCACCAATGTAGACACCCTGCAGCTCAGCAGTAACTCAATCAGCTTAGGAACTGACAACTTGTATGTTTATTATATAAAATATTCCCTATACCTGCTGCTTAGCCTGGTCAAGCTGCTGTTCTATCTGCGCTAGTTTTAGACGGCTCGATTCTAATTGTTGAACATAAGCCTATCAAAGAAAGCAACAGAAGATAAGAATATTGTGTGCAACTTTCATCCATTTGCAGAATTTCCATGTAAATATACCTTCTTTCTCAGACGACTTTTTCGAGCAGCCTCTCTGTTCTGTGCAAGACGTCTTAATACCTATAGAGAAAGTAATCATATGCACTGACATCACTATTATATAAAAATATAATGTCATTCATGTTCACATGGAGCGTTTACAGCATATAGAATTTTCTTTAAATTAACTACTTAATTGTCCATACATAATCTAAGTTCATAAATCTATAGTCAGAGGTTTGGACCTAACAAAAATTACTGACAAATTTGATTTCACAAAATGAGGTATGAGTTCACCACAATCTACCTTGACAAGAAAGAACATGCATTTTCATCCCTTATTTTGAAACATCTTAGAAGCTTGAACACAGCCAAGAAATTTTATCATTGGCATTAGGATGGCTTACAATGCTTCTAATGTCATATCAAAACATTCTTGCACAAGTTAGTTCATGGCTCAAGTCTAAATCCTAAGCATCCTACATTATCTAGTAATAACTTTAGCAAAAGTGACTTGTTGCTTTTTAGCGAGTAAGGTCCATTGATGATGTGATTTTCTTGAGCTTTTTTATAATATTTTCTTGATACAAGAAGAAAACCAATGATAATCCAAACTACTGAATCAACAAAATATCCTTTTCTACTTAAAGGCAATGCATGAAACCACAGAGCTGATTAATCACCATCCATAATATATTAAATTTTATCAGTGACAAAGATGGTACAAGCAGTTTGGTTACCTTATCTGTAGGCTTGTTTGCTTCTTGGTCGTATTTTTTTGATGGCCCTAGCATGGTATGAGGACTATCTTCTAACTGCAAAACCATTACAATGTAAAGATCTAATGTCGCCTATTTCAGCATTTAACCAAAAAAGAGAAAAGAGAAATATTTCAAATAGCCTACCCTATTGTCGAGTTTTATCTCTGCCTCTACGATTGATGATGCCCCTGTGTTTTGACTGCTGTCAGCTTTAAAGGAATCTCCCCACATGCCTATCTGGTGGTTTGGTTCAAATATACCCATCTTTCTGGGGGATGCAAATTGAGTCGATGCAGAGCTCATGTTATTTGAACTGCACAGGAAAAAGAATGACATTACTTGATCAAAAAGGTGAATGGCATCAGCTGCATAAAAATAGAAAAATAATGGCCAAAGCAGCATAAACTAAACATATAACATTTGAAAATTTGCTGATTCAGGCAAGGAAATGAAAAAACACTGAACTTTTCAGTGTGATTATGAGAGATCTATTGTATTTTGTAATGATCTCCAGACCATTAGAATATCTAGAAGTTTAGGCCAAATACATTTATAATTGCTATTAGAAGCCTTTTTGTTGACATCATACTTTACTCCGTCTTTCTGGCTTGTCATCGAGCAGCAAACCACCATAAGTGTATTTCCTTCCAAGATTTTAGCACCAATATCATAAGAGACCTTTGCAAGTCCAGATATTAAGTTTAGTTGTACAAGAAAATAAAGCTCCAGGAGACTATATTACCATATCATATAAAGATCGGATGAACCATTAGATTCATTCTCATAATAAATCAGTGAAATGACCAAACTAGAGATGCCATTGAACCGACACTCGTCCATGAGCATTAGACCAGTCTGAATACAGCCTTTGTAACACAGGTGCACAACATAATAATCCCAGATGCCAAGTGTTA